TTCCACAACGGACGCATGGGCATCGTCCTTTTGTGCCATACTCTTGACTTCCGCACTTAACTTCTAACAACAACTAGCACACAAACGCAACAGACCGCCCCTACGATCGACGTTGCTCTGATACCACGTGTCACGCGCTGACTAATTCTCTTAGTCTTTTGCACGCGGCCTACTAGAGTCACCACCCGTTAGACTACTAGTCAAGGCTCCCAATTGCTTAGCAAAGCTAAATATTGATGTTGTTAGTTAAGTGTGGTTTGCTTGGAAAGCACAAGTGAGAATATATGAGAAAGCTTTAAGGAAGAAGGCTTTTTATAAATGCTTGAGAGAACACAAGTGTTTTTACATGAGCAAGAATGGGTGGGAGGTTTCCTATTTATAGGCAACATCCCTTTCTAGAGTGTTCTAACCTAGATGCTTCCTAACCTCCTCAAATGGAGGGTTCTAGAGAACTCTATACACTTTCTGATTACATAGGCTTATGTACAATATTCTAGAACCATCTACAAAGTTCTAGCATCTTAAGTATGTACAAGTTGTCCCTAGAGGCTTCTAGAGACCTCCGGATGCACCACGAACCTCTTCGTGCATTCTGGAAAGTTGTGGGCCTCATCTTCAAATTCTGGCTGCACCATCATCTTTATTGGGCCCAAAAACGGTGGGCCACCAAGTTTGGGCTCATTTGGAGTCCATTAAGCCCGGCCCATGGCCCATTATTGTGTTACTGTCATGGGCGTGTTCACTAGGGTAAATGGCAGGGAGCTAAATAAAGCTCTATAGGGGGAAGGGTGTTCTGGCCTTGCTAGCCATGCAACAAGGGCATTCCCCCTGGCCACGATTATAACTTGCTGCCTTGTGGCCCTAGTGAGGGGTGGGAATGTGTGAGTCGTGACACTTGGCTAGCTTAGTACTCGGTACTCTATAATTTTATTTTTTATGTACTTTTTTTTTTTTGGCTTTTTGTTTCACTTTGAGCTTTATATTTGCCGATTTTAATAAAACTTTGATCATTAGTGCTTCTTAAAATATATAATACACTGAGACAAATATTTTGGACTTCTAAATTTATTAATTCTTATTTTTTTATTTTTTTAAAAAAATGGAAAATACGTGCAACCTTTACAACTATTACAAGCTTATATTAAATGGGCTAGGTGTTATGCCTAAATTATCACTACAGGTTCAAATGTCTGCATGTTGCTAGATTGCAGGTTACAGGTTGCTACGAAGTCAACGACCTAGTTACCGGAAGTGAAGAGAAATTAAATGAAAATCTTTCCAAGGAATATTCTAAGATAATCCAAGTTTGAATAAGTCAAGATACGTGCCATAAGAATAGGAACCATAAACTCCAACTAGTTGTTAGTTTGAACAAGTCAAAATGGCAACGAATAAGCACAAGCAGAGTATGGAATGAATCTCGGAGCTGAACCTGGCAACTAACCCTGATTTTCAAGGGATCAACAAAGGAGCTGTTGTAAAGCTTCAAAAGACTCTTCTATTATAAATAGGATGAAAACCATTGTGAAAAAAGAGGATTCGAGCCCTAAGCATTACATTCCATAGCAATTAGCAACTAGCAACCAAATTACAGATTCATTCTTGATCAAATTACAACCTACATTGTACTTGTATTTCATTTTCAAATTAGTAGATTGGTGGACTCAACACCATCCACAATTTTTACCCTTATTCATGGGGTTTTCTGCGTTATCATATCGTCTTTCTCTCTCCCTTTCCCCTTTGTTCAACTCCTTTTAATCATTTATCTTCGTTCCTTGAACCTGTAACAACATTTGCATATTTATTAATCTAGCTGTTGTCCTACTAAACCTGGTTTAATCAGACGATCAGATTTTGACCTAAACACTAATTCTATGGTTATTTAAAGTCAAGATATTGGGCTTAAAAATGGGGTTTGGATATTACAATTGACACCTGAAGGAGGTCCAAAAACAACAATAGCTTTCCTATAAGCCTAGTACGAGTCAAGTTTATGAAATTAGGATATACAAAGATCCTCTAGTCTCCTATAGACCATAGCCACCACTCACACTGGCGCACCCCTATCTCTCCAACGATGCATAGTTTACCAGCGACGCTGGCTTTAGTTTTTTTTTTCCTACTAAGGTACGATATGTTAAAAAAGGGGGGGGGGGGGGAATTAAAAGAATGTCTAAATTCTAAATCATTAAAAAACAACATAAAGCGAATATCAAGTGACCTGTTCCAATTGAACCGAGTACCCGATTATGAACATTACCCCCCTCGATCCCAGGATTTCTTAAAGCTGAGAGGAAATCTCTAAACTGAGTTATCCTCACACTCATTACTCGTTAGTTGAACCAAATATGTTCAAAATAATTTTATTTCCTATTTATTTTTCTCCTTAATTACATAGTATATCTAACATTAATAATATTATGGAAAAATTGGTAAAAATAATCCCAACTTTCACGTATTCGCTTTAAATAATTCCAACTTTGGATTATTTTTAAATAATCCGAACTTTGGGGGTCATCATTTGCTAAAAATGGTCCCAAGTGACTAGTAACCTATTAAAGAGTTATTTTTTTATTTTTTTGGTTTTAGTAACACGTATCACTACGTGATTAGCTGAAAAAAAAAACTAAGATAAAATTTAAAACAAAAAAACAGCCCCAACCCACGACAACCCCCCACCACCCAAATTTCTAGTAGCCTTCTCCCACCGCCCAGCCAGGTACCCTCGTCTCAAACAGCAGCGCCCAGCCCCCATCCCCACGCCGGCACCAGCGCTTCCCTTCCCCAAACCCTCTAAACCATTAAAACCATCATACGCACACACCGAAATCGCCTAGAAATCCCTCCCACCCATTGCAAAAACCCTCGAACCGGTCGTCCCCTACACTCAGAACCCTAGCGCTAGAGTTTCGATGGTGGGGGACGGCCGGTTCGAGGGTTTTATGCGGCAAGGAGGTTGTTTTTAGGGATTTCGGGGGTTTTAGGTGGGCAGGTTTGGTGGTTTTGGGGGAAGGGGTGTCAGGAAGGGGAGCTGACAAGGGGGTAGAGGGAGCTACCGGTGTAGGGGAGGGGGTTTCAGATGACGCATGGCCGGTGAAGAGGGTTCTGGCCACCGCAGTGTTGGTGGGGAAGGTGGTTCGTCAGTGGAGGCTGGGCAATTTTTTTTTATTTTTTATTTATTTTTCAACCAATCACATGTTGACACGTGTCACCTTAACCTGTTATAACAGTTTAGGTGGCCAGTTGGGACCATTTTGAGCAAATGACCCACAAAGTTTGAATTATTTAAAAATAATCCAAAGTTGAGATTATTTAAAGCATATACGTGAAAGTTGGGATTATATTTACCATTTTTTCTTAATTTTAAACCATTATAAAGCCCGACTCGGCTCATGAAGGACCCATAATAAAGAGGATAAGTCTTAGATGCACCATGGCTTATAAAATGAATATGTAGTAAAAAAAATGAACACGTAAAAAAATGAGCATATAGTAATTAAAAATGAACATGTAAAAAAAAATGAAAATTTAATATTAAAAAGTGAATACATTAAAAAAAAATGATCATATAGTATATTAAAAATGAACGTGATTATCATATAATCATAGAATTGCTAGAGCACGGCCTCAAAAATGAACATTAAGTAAAAAAAAAAAATATGAACAAGTTAAAAAAAATAAAATAAAATGAACATTTAGTAATAAAAAAATGAACATTTACCATATAGTCATAGAATAGCTAGACCATACCTAGTAAAATGAACACTTCATAAAAATAATATGAACCCATTAAAAAAAAAATGAAAATTTAGTAGTATTTAAAATGAACACATTAAATGAAATGAACGCATCAAATAAATTTATGAACATTTAGTATATTAAAAATGAACATGATTTTCATATATTCATATAGGTTCAAATTCTTTATACATAACTATTAATGAAAAATAAAGATAAAATAAATCGTTAAAATATGTTCATTATTTTTGTACTAAATGTTCATTCTGTACTACATGTTCATTTTTAAATTACTACGTGTTCATTTTTTTTACGGAAATTATACACAAATTCGATAGTAATTATTTTAACTCTAAAAATTTATTATCCACCTTAAATCTAATTTTGGTTGAGAAAAAAATTGTTGATCTATAACATGATGGATTAGGAATCACAAATGCAAAATTGATACAGATTAACAATTTTATGACAGTCACATATTTATAAACTAAAAAAAAAAAAACAAAAAAAAACTCAAAATTACCTCAAGATTCATGATCGCGACGAAGATGATGACGGTAGAGAATGCTACAATGAGGACGAATTGGAGAATGCTCAAAGTAGAAGGACAAAGAAGAATAATGATTGAAGGAAAGTGAGGTATTTACATGTTCATTTATATAGAGATAATAAAGGAGAGAGAAAATTTCAAAATGAGAAGAAAACAGAGGAGAGAGAAAATTAATAGAAGTACGAAAAGAGAAGAGAGAGAGGAAAAAAGTACTCCCTCCGCCCGTGAATATCTGCAACAAAGGACATAAATGCGGATCCCTAGGAAAAACTTTTAGGGGAGTGTTAATTGAGTTTTGGTGGGTTTAATTAATGAGAGAAAAAGGTAAAAATACAAAATTACCCATATATATAAACTAAACATTTAAGTGTTGAAAAATAAGGGTATATTTGGTATTTGTAGTGTGAACACAAATATTTGTAGTGGGTTTTAGGTAGTGGGTAATAGGTAGTGGAGGGGATCACTAACCAAAAAGTGGGTAATAGTGGGAATTAATAGTTAAATATTCCCAAAAAAGGAAATAAAAAAATTTGTTGCAGATATTACAAGCATCCATTTTTGGCATTTGTTGCAGATATTCATGGGCGGAGGGAGTATGTTTATTTTTAAAGTACTATATGTTTATATGTATGGAGCTGGTGTAGGCTTAGCTGCACAAGAGTGTAGCTAAGAAATTGCGTAATAAAAATCCGGCCCTTTATTAATTGGACGGATCTTAAATGGGCTCCAACCCATTGAATTGCTGTTAAAAAAACGGATGCGCCTCTTGCTCCCCTCTCTCTGAGTTCTCCATTGAAGCGCACTCAACATCGCACTTGACGTTCTCTGAGTTGTATTTGTTCTCAGCAGCTTCTGAGGTAAGTTGTTGTTTCTTTTAGTAATCATCATATCAATTTGACAATCTAGGGTTCATCTTTCACCTAATTTAATTTAGTTGTCAGTGCAGTAGTGTAGGGTTCGAAAATCTCAGCTATCGGTTCTAATACTAAGATTATGAAAGAGTGATTATGTTGCTAGAAATTTGATAATTGAATCACGTATCCCTAAAATTATGTGATAATTGAATCAAATTTGGTTGCTAATGTAATGTTGAGATTGGATATGAAATTAGACCTCTCCTTCCTCAGTTGTTCTTCCTTGTTTGAATATTAGGTGAATTTACAATTAAGTTGTAATACGGCTACTACTCATTTTGATTAAGCAATAACATAGGTAGAATACCATGTATATGATGTACTTAATTATATAGTCGGGAGTGTGAAAAGTACGAATTGAAGTGAGGCGGCCAGTGATTGATTATAATTTTAAACCCTAAATTATCCTTCTAATTGCTTACAATGGACTGTGTTATGTTCTGATTGTATGATAAAGTATCATAATTTACGAATTTTGTTAGCTTTTGCTCATATGATATGCATGTATTTGGGTCTTTAATTGCCCAGTTATACGGAGTATTTCTTATTCACGCTAACATTAATTGACAAATCATTAATTGGATAATAGAAAAAAAGCTTTATTGATCTGAGCAACTGTTAATTTCTAGGAATTGATCTTGTAAACAAAGACAATATGAAGTGTAAGCTGTCAACATCTTTAGAATTGTTGGCCCTGGCGGTGTTCTTATTCTCAACTATGTTGCTCGGATTCGGGTATTGTGTCTAAGTGTCCAACTTGGTGACATTATAAAATTAAAGGCTCGAAGTGTTCTGCCGCCCATGTCTGAGTGTCATGAATTTGACACGGATACGTGAGAGTCCGAGCTACATAAATTCTCAATACTAATCGATTGTGCTAGTGTCTTAGAAATTTATCAAATTAATGTTCATTGTGTGGCTTCCTGGGCACTAGGGAGCAGGGGTTTTGACTTAGGTGATCAACTAGAAGGCCAAGAGGACTAGCATGGTAGAATGACTAGCAAGGACCTTCAATACCACTGGTGAGGCCGACTTTTCGTCTTGCTATTAGAAACAACACGACGACTAGATTTGATGTTGCTAGGTGATTGCTATACGACTGTCTATAGTACTCCCTATGTCTCAATATATAGTTGTTGTTTGTGTTTTTTCACGGTATTTAAGAAATAGGAGGAGAAAGTGAATGAAGTATACTAAAAGTGGAAAAAAACTAGACAAAAGTGCAACGCTAGTGGATAATTTTAGGGGAAAAAAGTGAAAAGTATAATTATAGACAAAAGTCAGAGAAAGAAAGTAGAAAAAAGTACAAAACAAGTGGATAATTTAAGGATAAGTTAGGAAGTTCAATGAATAATGTTACAAAAATGAGGGTATAATGGTCTTTACATATTATCAAAAAATAGAAAAAGGAATGACATTTTGGGTCTCCAAAATAGGAAAGCAGGAACTATAATATGGGACGGAGGGAGTACTATATAATGCTGTTGTTACCTAAATATCAAGCAGATGTTTCTGAAATAGCAGCCTAGATTGCAAAAAATCTCTTGTAAAAAAGGTGCACTAGCACCAATCAGGATTCTAGTTAGACTAATTTCATGATTGAACTTTGTAACAAAATCCGACATTCAGTGACATTGGAGCTTCAAATTTTCAGTATAATCCTGAGCTTATTGCTCGAATACCTCTGTATATTTCTAGAAGAAAAATCGTGCTGGGTTAAAACTTAACATGTTTTAGGTTTGTCGGAGTTGGAATTTCTGGGCTGGTGCATTAGTATGTATAATTGAGATATCAAAGTTAATATATAGCCAATAGAGGAAGTATAATTCAAACTGATTTTTTTCATACTTCTGTTAACTTTTGTACAAGTTTGCTATATTGTCGATGTTGTTAAGGACCTTAAGGTAACTATTGTTTTGAGAGTTTCAACCTAGTAGGCATTCCTAGGCAATACTCCAATACTACAGGCCTACAGCTATATAGTACTAGTACGGAAATTTATTGGCCACACTAGTGACATACAATAAAATTTTCCGGCGATGCTGGTTCTTTTTTTTTTTTTCTACCAACACCATCAAGGTATGATATGTCAAAAAAATATAGGGAAATTAAAAAAAAATGGCTAGAAAAAACATGAACCGAATATCACGTGACCCATTCCAATATAATTGGGTACCCGACTATGAACATCCCTAGAGTTTGCCTCTCTGCTGTCCTTTTTTGTTTGCTTCATACTCTATAATTCTAGTTGCTATACGAGTACTCTTTTTGGTTGAATTGAGTAGATGAGCAAGAGCATATGTGAAATCACTTATTGTACTTCGTATGTGACTATGAGGATAATTAAATTGAAAATAAGGGGCTAACTTCAAGAAAGGAAGGGATTACTTTATACTCATCTTAACAATAGTAATTTTCTCTATTTATTATGTTCAATTCACTGAATTTAATACTCTAATTTGGGCCTTCAAAAATGGATGACTATACGGAATAATTGATTTTGGTTTACGTCGCCGACCTCTATGAGATTAAGACTTTAATTGATTGAATTTGAGTCTTCAAAAAAAAAAAAGACTAAATTTCACTTTTTTTGTAAACTAATCCTTTAGAAATTTTTTTAATTCATATTAATATGCACTTTCAAAGATGAAATTTTCACAAATTTTTATCACAAAATTATTGATATTAAACAATAAACAAAAACAAATAAAATGGTCCGATGGTCATTACGCCTAAGTTAAACTATTGTCCTTCATAATTTTACTTTGTATCTTATTTTCTACTTAATTACGTAGTAAATTCAACATTAACAAAAAAAATTATTATTTCTATTCAATTTGTTTTATTTAAATTATTAGACGCTCCAATGACCTTTTATCTTAACAATTTTTATTCTTCTAATTGCAGCAATTACCCCCAATTTCTCAAATCCCTACAAAGCTTCATACATGGAGAAAAAACCCTTTTTTTCTTCTTAGTTCTTCCCAATGGAGGTTTAACATTCCTTTTACCCCTCCCTATTTTCGCCCCACTCACTAAAAAAACCCCTTTTTTCTTCTTAGTTCTTCCCAACAATGAAGAAGAAACGAACCCCTGAGACCCAACTACAATACGAACTGGGTACTTGTTCCAAGCAAAATGATCTCAAAAAAGCAATTTCTCTTTACAATTCAGCTTTAACTCAAAACCTCCGTCTCTCTCATCATCACTTCAATTCAATCCTCCATCTTTGTTCTTCCCCTGAATCTCTCTCCTCCCCCAACAAGTCATTTGCTCTTGAAAATGGTTTTCGGGTTTTCGAGCATATGCAATCCAATAAAATTCCACCAACTGAGGCTACGATTACCCAAGTTGCGCGCCTTGCAGCTGCCAAAAATGACCCAGATTATGCATTTGAGTTGGTCAAAAGTGCGAGGGATAAAGGGGTTTTGCCGCGGTTGAGGACTTATGGTCCTGCATTGTTGAAGTACTGTGAGAACCTGAGGGTTGAAGAAGCTTATGGTGTAGAGGAGCATATGAAGGGTAATGGGGTGAAGTTAGAAGAGGGAGAATTGAGTGCCCTTTTAAGGGTTAGTGCTGAAGTTGGGAGAGAGGGGAAGGTGTATGAATATTTGAGTAAGTTGAGGGGGGTGGTGAGAGGTGTGAGTGAGGAGACTGCTGGGGTTGTGGAGAAGTGGTTTCAAGGGGTGAAGGCGGCCGAGGTTGGTGTTGAGGAGTGGGATGTTGTTAAGGTGAGGGAAGAGAGGGAGAAGTGTGGGGGTGGGTGGCATGGGATGGGGTGGTTAGGGAAGGGGCCTTGGGAGGTGAAGAGGGTTAAGATTGGTGATAATGGGGGATGTTGTGGGTGTGGGGAGCGGTTGGTTTGTGTCGATATCGATTGTGGGGAGACCGAGAGGTTTGCGCAATCAATTGCTGGTTTGGCTATGGAGAGGGAAATCAAGTCTGATTTTAAGAGTTTTATGGTAAGTGTTATGTTTGCTTTGTTGGTTTTATTTGAATGATTGTGATTTGTTTGGTTGTACGTTAAGTTTGAAATTAAATGTTTTTTTTTGAGTTAGCATTTGTTTAGCTTGATTTCTTGATTTTGTTCTGCCCTCAAACATTCTAATAACACTGCTAGAGTATATGAAGAACATTTGTTAACTCTGGGAGCTAAGATTTGTTAACTTTTTAAAATTTTGTGGGAGGGAAAGACTGTAGTGCTTTGAACAATCTAATGGAGGCTATGACTGTGAAATATATATGGAGAAAAATTTTATATTTGTAAGAGCCATATTAGTATATTATATTTAGCCCACTTTGATCATTTCTGCTAGTTAATATAAAGAACCATGATGGAGAACTGTATATATCATTTGCTGAAATGTCTGATGGAAATACTTAGTGGGAGATAGCTTAAGCTATTGAAGTTCACAGCACTAAGCCTTGTTTTATTATTCTGTTCTTAGAGCTCATGTTGCTCTTATCTGTTGCTGCAGGAGTGGATTGATAGCCATTCAGTTTATGAGGCTATAGTAGATGGAGCAAATATTGGGCTCTACCAACAAAATTTTTCTGAGGGAGGGTTCAGTATCACACAGGTGAAACATTTCTATTTGCTTTCTGTATTTCATTCCGTACCGTTATTGTTGGCGTCAGTTTATCTGTATAACACAACTAATTTTAATTCTTTATTTTGTTTTCGTCATGGAAATTGTAATAGAGCAGCTTGAAGCTGTAGTAATGGAATTGTACACTAGGAATAAAAGGTGGCCTTTGGTTGTCCTGCACAAGAAACGTCTACGAGCATTCCAGGAGAACCCTTCCACTCAAAAACTGCTTGAGGAGTGGTTATCTCAAGGCATACTCTATGCTACACCTAGTGGATCAAATGATGATTGGTTAGGGTTTCCATACCTTTTTTCCATGGGCATTTCTTGTCATTATTGTTCTATTGTGACCGAGACAGTTGATTTTCTATTTTTTTTTGGTTGTTAGATTTGGTCCTCGATTTAAATTTTCATGAGTTGGGAAATATATACTTCACATATTTTTTTTTATTAGGCTAGCGCTTTTTTTTTTTTTTTTTTTTTTTTTTTTTTTTTTTTAATTACAAGTATAATTATTTAAACGTACTGTTTGAGAACAGTGTAAGATTTTTATATCTGACTTTTATTTTCTGTCAGTTTGATAACACCTTGATTAAACCGAATTGGGTCCCAAATTTATCAACTTTCATCTGGAGATACTTATTTCCAAATTCCTCTAATTGGCTAGATGATCCTTTTGTATTATTCTATAAAATATCTTTAGTGTTTTCTTATCTCTCTTGCCTACGCCACTAAATTTTCTTTTGAATGTGTTCAGGTATTGGCTCTATGCTGCTGTGAAGATGAAGTGCTTGCTTGTCACAAATGATGAAATGCGTGATCATATTTTTGAACTTCTTGGGAGCAGCTTTTTTCTACAGTGGAAGGAAAGGCATCAAGTATGTACTCGTTTCTTTAGAAATTTAGTGACGAGTTTCCCATGATGGGCATATTGGCTGTACTGAGACTGCTGATTTCTGAAATAGGGTAGAAATGCTATATCAGTTTTTGTGATTTGTGGTGAATATTTGTGTTTTACTCCAATTTATGGCAATTATTAATGCATGCACCTGAATTTTTGAGGAAATTTTGCTTAGCTAAGGCGTCAGTTGGTTAGATGTGTGGAGTTGGAATTTTAAATTCCCAGAGTTTGTATGTTGTACATCCATAAAGTATCATGGAAATGATGTAATTTACTTCCTCCAATTGGTGGGAAGTTAGATGTTATTTCCAACTAAACAACTGCACACACATGGAGATGATGTTGTGCAGAGGAAAGAAAGGGAGGGCAAGGAATTTGTGAGGGACTCAACCCTCACCTACTCTACTACACACGAAAGACAGGAATGAATAAGGAAAACAGAGCAAAATAAGGCAGCTAGCAATGGTGTTTCATTAATGAAAGAGAAATCAAACGGTAGCAGCCTACCAATCTCCAAGATAGTATCTTTAAGATACAACTCTCAGTTCAAATCAGTCAAATCACATGCCAAACCTTCTCACCCTAACCTCTTAATTTATATACAACAAGGATTACAAAATAGTACTAGCTGTCCTTAATTCTTGTCTTCATTCACTATCATTGTCTTGCCAAGTTCCACTACCCAAAGTTAATACTGCCCTCTGCTCCTCAGGCCTTTTAATTGCCTTTGTCCACTTGCGCCACCTCCTCATTTGTTGCTGCTGTTGTGATTGGTGGAAGGCTTGGTTGGACAACCTTACCTCCCTCTGATATTGCTTGAGAATAGGTGGCTTAACGGGCCCAATTACTTGGTCCATTACAGAATTACGGGAATACAGTACGTACCTCATGAGGAATTTGGTTTGATGTGGTATCACTATCATTATATTGCTTCATTGGACCATAGTGATTTGTTGTATTGGGTGGTAGAATTTTATTTGCTGCATTATAGGTATAGCCTTAGAAATGACTATATTTTAACCTTTGGAAAGAGAACATGTTAATTGTACTAGTCCATGTGTGTTTGTTTGTTGACCTGTTTCTTATGTGCAAACTTTGTGCTTCTTCAAATTTGTTACTATCTATTTATAGAAATTCATTTTTCACCTCTTTAATACGCCTATTATTTGATTTTGTAGGTCCATTATACGTTTGTGAAGGGAGTTCCAAACCTTAAAATGCCTCCAACATACTCTATTCTTATTCAGGTACTTTTAAATCTCGGTCTCTATTTCTTTTTTGGTATTCTCCAATTTTCATAATACTTTTTTTTTTTTTTTTTTTTTTAATCTTCGTGTCTTATTTGGCATGTCAGAGTGAATAGCTGGATTTAGGAATAGCAGGGTTAGCATGAAATAATAGTTGACTGTTGGTATGTGAAATGGGAATAAATATGGGTCACTTAAAAGTCTCTGGTGGTTGGTTTTTACTCAAGGAAGAATGTTGAAGGAAACATATAAGTGTGCTTTGAGTAAATTGGTATTAGAATACGTAAGTCACACCTAATGACTAGTTAGACTGACCCTCCTAGAAAGCTGCCTTATTGAGGGTAATCTGTTTCCGTACCAAATTTAAGAACATCTTTGAGGAGTAGTTAAGTCAATTACGATGACTGTGCTTCTTGGAAACTGTAATGTGTGTTAGGTAAATTGGTGTTAAAGCACTTTAGTCATGCTCTTTTCCAGGTAGGACATCTTATAAGACGAGTGGGTGGGATGTCCTTGACCCAAATCAGCTCCTTAGGGAACCAAATAGGTCTAGAATAGGTTGTCCTAATTCATGATTCTCTCACAACAGAAAAAGGTGATAAATATATTGCATGTGACCAACCTTATATTGCTGGTCCTCAAATTGTTGGTGGACCATTAGCTAGAGCTCAGGTTGATAATGATCGAGTCTTGCTGACATGGGAACTGCAAAAGGTAATGTTATTGGGCGTGCTAGAGAGGATTATATATGACTTGGTGTCAAATCCTGTTTGCCATGCTCGATGCATACTGAAAGGAAAAGGGCTAGAGTGTGAACTGTAAGAATTTCTTGTTATATTTGGAGTTTTCTCATCTGACATAGCTGTTTCAAAGGTTTATACTTCTGTGAGCTATGTTTTGGTGACCACTCTCCTGTCTGGGACTCGGGGTTATCTGTTAAATGTCGTCCATTTGTCTTGGACAGTTATAAACTCTATAGCTAGAGTTTTCAATCATGATTTAATTGTGGATCTGTTTTAGCAGACACTGTGGATGTTTTGTGGCTTTGGTGGCCTATTATTACAGTTGTGAAAGCTCTTTAAAAAAAATTAAAAAAATTAAAAAAAGAAAAGAAAAGAAAAGAAAAGAAAAGATTTTACAATGCCACCGAATGTGGTGATGCAGCCAAACTTCTATTTTCTGGCTTTAATCTTATGTAGTTATGTTTTTTGGGGAAGGTCAAAAGAATCTGAGTATGTTTGTTACTTTGGTCACCATCAAAATGTTGAGGGATTTGAAAGGAAATAGAGGGAGGAGCACATTCACATCAAACCCATTTTATTAGTGACTTGTTTGGTGGTCAATTGGTCATCCTTTTTAACCTACCCTTGTTTTATCCTAGCTCCCCCCTCCCTTCATCTCCTTCTTTTGACCATACTCTTTGATCACTTCATCAGTCACTCCATAATTTCCTCCCTTTTCGTTATTTATGATTCCTATTAAAGTGAAAAATACCTATATAACCAAATAGTGGGAAAAATATAAAGTTTTTTGATATTAAAAGCATCAAACACCAACCTTTCCATCTATTTATGGGATAGCTGTGAGTTGCAACCAAGATGTAATGAGATTTCAATTTTTTCAGTACCCATCAGATCAATAAATGATTTGCTTCTACGTGTGATGCATAAGGGTCATATGAGCCCAGTTAGCAGTGACTTCCCATGCCATAGCTTTTGAATCAGTGTAATAGAAGATATCATTCCCTCTTTGATCATATTCATATTCTTGTATTAAGTTTACATTACATAGCCTAGTTTCTGTTTTATATCCCTGATTCAAGACTCTCAAGAGGACATCACTTTGAAACTGAAAAGGGGGCAATTGATTATGCATAAAGAAGCTTTGTGTTATTATCTACCTTAACTTCAGGCAGGTTTGTGGATTTTGCAGTGTTCTGAGTGGATAATATGCTTTGGGTCTATGGTGCTTTGTTTCTATGGAGGCCTTAATGGAGAAAGTCTTTTTTTCTTCTTCTCCATCTGTAGTTGGTGTGGATATTCGTGAGGCTGAGGTGATCGTTGGTGATTGTGAATTTATGGAGTGATTTAAAGAGGTAGGAGATAGAACAGAAGAGGTGTCCATGGATGAACCGGTTTTTAAATATGTGTAGATGGTTAACCTCTGTTAGATCTTCTACTGATGTCTGAGCTGTTAAAAGGATAAAGTTATTGGTTAGTTAAGAAGTGAAGCTTTCCTCGTAGAAGTAAACTATTATCTTCGATGTTATTGGCACCTTGGTGATGGTTGTGCAGCTTGCGCTTATCTTACTCCCCTGTATTGTGACAGGTTGTATATGGCTGAGTTGTCACTGAGTCTTCATCTATGTTTATAGCCATCTAGGTATTATAGACTTATTCATAAGATTTACTTTAGTTTCAATTTGTTTTTAGATACCTGGTGAGAGGTTTTAATTGGTGAGTGCCCCCCACTTGAAACGGGAATATAATGTATTAGATGGGTTGTAAGCACTTGTCACTCGTAACCCTTATGCCTATTTCCATTTTATCTTCACATAAACTGTCACTTGTAATTTTATGTCTGTTTGTTTGTTGTGAGCTTGGGAAATGACTGTATACAGGCTGTTATTGTTGCGCAGTTGTGCCTTTCAATTCAAAGGTGCTCAGGAAACTGTAGTGTGTGTTAGGTAAATTGGTGTTGGGGCACTTTAAGTCATGCCATATGAGCTGTTAGAATAGCCTTCCTACAATAGCATCTTATGAGGGATTAGCTTAAATTTGAGTTGCAACGGAGAATCACAAAATCAAAAGATGCAACTTGATCTAAATGAGCTATTTAAGGATTCTCCATAAGTTGATTTTTATAAGTTAATCAGCCTTGTTGAGATATCTAAAATTCTAGAATGCCAAATGGAAAATGCATACGACTTGTACCTGGGTTCTAGGAGGCTATTAGCCTAAGGCTTTAGTTCATTTTGTGTGCATATTTGGAGATTTAGTAGTGTTGGATAACATAATTTCAAAAAAGTTTTGGGTCTTCCTATATGAGGACAATTGGTGTTTGATGCTAGGAGATCCCATTGGCTATTCAGGGGTTATCTTCAGGTGCTCATCATGAAGGCTAGAAATATTGTGTAAATGAAATCGATTTCAGAGCTCAAAGATTATTCAGAGCCAGAGGGCAGTCCCAAAAGATGCCATTTTAAGGGAACCCACCAGTGATACCAAAGGTATACATCTGGGGCAAGTTTTGGGGAGTCTGTTGGGAACTAAGCTATCACCTGCTGTATGGGATATGTGGTCCTAGTTTTTAATTCATTTAAAGTTCATCTTAATCTAACTTGGATAACTAAAATTGTCCGTGAATGTGATTATTAGTAGGAGTGAGCATGGATCGGATATCCGTATCCGAATATTATGACATTTGATATCCGTATCTGATTTCGGATATCCGATATCCGGATATCCGAAAATTTCAATAATCTTGGTTTCATTTTACGGGAATAATGTTGTTAAAATACTACATTAATGGCAAAATTTATTTAAAATCTTGACGGCAATATTATACTCATAATTAGTTTAATTACAAGTTACAATTATTCATAATTTTGAATCTAACAATCCCAAAAATTTCAAAATCTAAACACATACTAATTGAAGAAAAAAAAGAAAAAAACCCAAATAACAAAATCCAAAGATTAATTTGGTATAAAATCTGAATCTAAAATCAAAGAACCCAGAAAATTGTAAGAATTATATATCAATCGAACAAATTATTTAAAACCAAATTGAATGAAAAAAATAATCAGAAAAAAGTGTAGATAGAGGAGAACCAAGTCGCCAGAGGAGGAGATCTGAGAAGAGAGAGAAGATAAAGAGAGGAGAGAGAGAGGCGGTGGGGGGTATGTGTTTTGAGGGAATGAAGTTAGGGTTTGGGTAGGTGGGAGTTTTTGAAACTTTGTACGGTAGTATGTAAAATATTAAAATGAAAAATAATAAATTAAGTGATTTGATTTTTATCGGATATCCAATCCGATATCCGACTTTTTCGGAACGGATATCCGATCCGAAATTGATTTCAGATTGGATATCCATAATTTGCGGATTGGATCATCGGATTTTCAGATAGTTTTGCTCAGCCCTAATTATTAGCCTTAACATGAAAATGGTACGACTTCTTGCCAACTTCTGAGAGAATATTATGTAGATGCTTTCACCTTCTTTCTGTCATTTTTGTGAATCCGGGGTGATCGTTATATTGTGATATAGTCTTTTCATTGATTGTGCACCTACTCTGTTTTATTTTACGCCTTTTTATTGGATCAATGCTGTAATTGCTCAAACTGCTTATAGAAAACTGGTTCATATTTCTGCAGGAATCAGAGAACGGATCTTGGCACATCCCAATAGCCAGTGAAAACACTGACGAGTTCTCAAGAAGTTGGCTTTGCATCACTAGGCCGAGTAGTTTTAGCAACTCTTCTAACTTGGGTGAGTCAATGCATGTTACATCAAAAAATTGCAGCAACGGACGCGAAGTTTCTCATCACAGTTCTGAAAATGGGGTTTCATCCCTGACTGGTAAAAGGAAGGAGAGAGACCCATCTCCTTCCAGATTGCATTAGTTCGTCAGTAACAATTTATTTTATTTTTCCTCCATTGCACGGCTCCTTGTGCTTCTCCATGGCTATGAAATAGATCATTACCAACAAATTACAGCCACATAAAGTATGCACGATATATCTTTTTTGACCCAACTGTAACAAGTTTTTGAAGAGGGAAACTTTTAGGCAGGCCATTATTTGTCAGACTGTTGAAATTCGCATGTACTTATTTGGTGGTATATCATAATTTACATGACATTTTATAATTATCATGTATGTTATTAAGCCTTGAGGCCCTTGACTGTGAAAATAGTATAGCACTCGGGTGCACCATGTGCATGGTGCACCCGAAAAGAACATTAAGCATATTTGAAAGAACATGGGCAAAAAAAAAAAACATACTAGTGTTTGAAAAAAAACATGATAATACATTAAAGAATATGTTATTTTTTATGGTTACTCAGGTGGTTGAATGTGTTTGAAAAAGAACCCTATGTTTGACTAAAGAACGTGTTTGTGTTTGACAAAGATAAAGGTGATCATTGGGCGGGCCAAGTCAAAAAAATCAACCCACTTCTCGGGTCAGGCCAAGCTTCATGTCGGAATTGTTTTGCCCAAACCCGCCCAAAATGGTCGGGCTGTACGGGCTTTTCGAGTCGGGCAAAAAAAAACAACTAAAAATGCATAAAAACGCATTTCCAAATCCGCAAAAAAAAAAAAATCAGGTCGGGCCTAGGCCAAAAAATTGTGCTCGAAACCCGTTCGAAATCGGGCTAGATCGGGCTGGGCTAACTTTGATCACCTCTAGACAAAGAACATAAAGTCTTTACAAAAATAACATGATAATTCATTAAAGAACTTATCCTTTTTCATGGTTACTCATGTGATTGAATTTAACATTTTTTTTTCTATGTACAAACATTAAAGAACATATTGTATAATGTAAAGAACATATAATTCAAACTCAAAGAACATATTATGCTCGTGTTCTTTATAAATGTCTATAATGTTCTTTTTTTCGCCCATGCTCTTTTAAATATACCTAATGTTCTTTCCGGGTGCACCAACCACACATTACCTTGACTGCAGCTCTACGATATTAGGTTAGTAGGGTATAAGATGATTTTTTTTCTTTTTGAAGATGCAGTTCGTATTTGATAATAGCTTGTTTTGTTATGAAATCTAAAGTTGGATTACCTGTTACTTCCTCCCTTTCGTATTAATCGCAACAGCAGGGTATTCACAAAATTTAAGAAAATTTATAGGATGGGGTTTAAAAGAGGATTTTTTATAATATAAAGTATTGTTAGTATGAGAGAGAAATAACAAAAAAGTAGTGTAAGTGGGGTCGGTAAGAAAGAGAAATAATAAAATATTTGTGAAAGTGGGGTTAGTGGGAGAGACAAATTATAAAATAATGGTGGATCCTTTCCAAATATAAAAGTGTTGCAACTAATATGAAACGGATATAAAAGTAAAGTATTGCGATTAATATGAAACGGAGGGAGTAACATATCTGCACTCTTCATATATTGCAGAAATAACAGATGGTTTTAGTCTCATTGCATACCATATTGTCACCGTAAACGAGTTTTTGTTATCGGTTAAGTCATTAAATTTCTGTATTGCACAATTCTGCTTCAAAGAGAAGCTTGAATTCATTACTCTGAAAAATGTATGCACAATTGATTCTTTAATATATCAAATATTGGCATTGTCACAATAGGTAAATGATCAAAATAAATCATAGGTACCCTTTTTTTGAGGGCAGAAGATATCATAGATATATAGCTTATTAATTTAAAATTTTTAATAATAATGTCATAATGATCCAAAAGATAGGTGAATTACTTCCAAATCTCCAGGATCCTAACACCAATTACATGATTAAACTGTGATGAGGCATAGTAACTTGATTACAGCCCCAAATATAGTAAGCACATAATTAATAAACATATTTCAAATTATGTAATAAAAAAATTTAATTAATTTTTCTTTGATTTAAACACTTGGACCGACTTTCTTCCTCTGCTTAATTATTGCTACTGAAGCTGCTGCTGCTGTTGCGAATAATTTCACTTGAAGACGTACTTTACTAAACAAGGAAGATGAGTGTTCATGAAGTAGTCTTCCCAGTTAACAGCTTTGGGATCAAAGTAGAATATATCTGTTTCCAATCCTCTATCTTTTGCTGCCATCCTTAACTTCTCAGTGTTGCTGTCATCATATCTGCAACATATTGTCAAACTCTGTAAGACATCTTTTTTTAGAAACAGTTTTGTACAACATAAACAAAGTCTATAGTACTGCCTCATCGGGAATTTTCGTTGTCACGTTACTAGTTGATTTACACTACCAATGTGACGATTAATTCTGGATTGATGGAGTATAATTCTATAAAAAAAAAAAATCAGCATAACTTACAAGCCCTTGAAGAACAAATATGGTCTGTAAATTTCTATCAGCCGCATCACATGGTTGATCTTCCTACTCAGTTCCAGAAATGTGCCCTTAAAGGACTGACAGAACGCAATATTCGCTATTTCGAGGGCCTATTGAGAAAAAAATCAGACCAAATTCATACAAACTCAATTTATCATTGTTAAATGGGGAGAAAAAAAAGGTGACCAACATCATTTTAAGCCTATGTAATTTCTGTAAGTACATGGCTAAGGTCCATACGTACCATGGTCATATAAAGAACATTATAACGTGTTTGATCAAAACAAAGTTTAGGAGATAAGTGCGGTACCTTCAAGGGTAGTAAGTAATGAAGAGTAAGATATCGCTTGAAGCTAGCCATGGAGCCTAAGACCCTAACATGGCTAACTATGACAGGTTTTCCATCCTTATTAATCCATGGATGCCTCCTGAAATACTGGTAGGCTACTTCATGAAGTGTTGTCAATGATGTCGGGTTTCTTACTGATGATCCAACTTGGTATATCCTTGGATTTCCAGGTTGATTTGCATGAATCATGGCTGCTACTATGATCGAATTGGCTACCATATCAGCAGGAATCTGCGCATGTCAATAATTTTTTCTCACAAATCATACTCTTACAACATAAGACCAAATATAAGTTTGTAATTGCAAAATAACTTTTTACAGTTTGAAGATTAGTATAGATTACTCATTTAGTCGTTTTTAGGGTGATCGACCTTACCACATCAACAATCGAGTTGGGGTCGCCTACGAAGCATGGCAACCTCCCTTTACCATAAGCAACAGCTAAACTGTCAATTGTCCTGCAAAAATTTTGGTGCAAAAGTCAAAATTTAGTTACTAAGATAATAATAATACAGAGTATTTATTGTTTGTATCTAACAACTCGGGGTATTACTAGCATTTGCCATAATATTTAAGAAAAAGTTAATTACCTAATACCTTCGACCCAACCAGGGAAGGGTTCTTTGTAAGTGCTGGTGACAATGGTAGGACGAATAATAACAACAGGAATGTCTCCTTTTTCATGCAGTAGTACCATCTCCCCTAATGCCTTTGTAAAGACATAAACATTTGGCCATCCCCAATGCCTTGCCCTGATAATTTGTAAAGCGCAAATTTAATTAATACGGAGTAATAGTTATAGTTTGTGTATGTGCGTGGTGTGGTGTGGTGTCACAAAGAATATGGTGCGTGGTGTTATTATGAGAGCACAAATTAATACTGTATGTGTATGAGATTATTCAAAACTAGCGTAAAAAGTGACTAGTGTTACATGATCCATTACGAGTCTTGGTCACATCTCAATCTATAAATAGAGTTACGTTGTGGTATGATGTGAAATTACAATCAACATTATTAAATGTATGTCCTTATAGTACAACCTTCTTTCTCGTATTAAAGTTTATATCAAACTGTCTTATTCATCAATTTTTTTTTTGGGGGGGGGGGGGGGGGGAGGTGATTTTGGTATGATCTCTATGATATAGGACAATATTTATGAGTGCATCTGTATGAATAAAGAAAAGGATGTTACATATTGTAGAATAAATCTATCACATGCATGTTGTTTCAGTAAAAATAAATGAATTAATTAATACTATTATTGAATGAAGATAAGACATTAAGACCACAATCTAAGAATGTGAAGGCAAGCAGTTGGTAGTTGGTCACTGGTCAAGAACTGATTTAAAACAGTGTAAATGAGCAATATGAGTACAAATTTAGCCTTAAAAAAAAAGGGTAAGCTAAGACAGTACAGGTTTGAATAATGGCTGAGCCAACCAATTTGAAGTTGAAGCTGAAACTGATTTGAATAATGTCAGCCCTCAGAATAGATTGTAGACATCCCTACAACTCCATCTACTTGTGTTTATCATATAGACCCTAATCAATAACCTCCATTAACTAGACTCAATCTACTATGTACAAACAATCCACAAATGTTTTGTATTATTGTTTCATCTCCGTTAGTAAGATTCAAAATTATTTACTTTCATAGTTGACTAAGATTTATAAGTCAAATGGTAAGACCTTCCTATGAATGTCACAAAATAATTGGAATTATACATGAGAACTAAAAAATACCTCTACCAACTAATTATTACTTCGCATTATTTTAATTTTTATATTTTTGTTACCAAGCTAATGAAAGCTTTTTATAATGCATAAAAAAAATATTTTTGAGCTCTTTTATCAGCACATTGGAGATGCTTGTATAATATTTTTAATCACTACTCCGTAGGATAATTTCATTGTACTCGATCAACCATAATATTCATCCGTTTCTTGTAGTGTCTATC